CTGCGCAGTAGAGATTTGTTTGGAGCCAGAGTCTGCGCAGTAGTGTCATGAGGTGGAGCCGCGGTATCAAACTCCCGCCCAAACTCCCGCAGACCCAATCAACTATAACGACACGCCCCGTTTTTTATAGCATCAAATTACTAGCTAAAATCAAACTTATCACAAAAACGAACAATTGAACATATATCAGCGTGATAACAACTAGCCTACCTTAAATGACCAAAACCATCTTTCGGAAAATTGTATTGGAAGTGTAATTCATTTTTTTATTTTGACTCAAGTGCCGTTCGTTTACATGGAGAGGGCAGGGTTTATGACCTGTCCTGCAGCCAGCCACCAGGGGGCAATCAAAGAGCCCGCAGCTTCACTTTTCAGGAATGTGAGACACGCCCGGTGACGTCACACAGACAGGCCCTCCCACGATAGTTTGATTGACAGTAGCGTTTCTCATTAAGACCCTAAAGAATCATATCAACTTGTGGAAAATGGGCATCCTATGACCCCTTTAAGGAGAAAATACTCAGCAATGGTGTAGATGAATAGATTGGCACATGGTTTGTCTAAAAGCATATTAAAAACATCACATAGACAAATAAACAACATAAACTACAATTCAACATACACTACTGGGGGACTTTAAAGATGCTCTTTGAAACTTTATCATCATCATCTCTGTTTGAAACATAAAATAGCAGGTTACTTGCAAAATTATTTCTTTACATGGGTTGTGCTTTGCCACTGCTCTGCTGCAGAATGATAAATCTGATGGTTTGAGGTATACTTTTTGTTAATTTTTAACCAAAATCTCTTCTGTAGTGCAACTTTAAAGTATTATTAATTTATTTGAGGGTAAAACTTTTTAAATGAGGAAATGATTACGTTTAAGGTCCACATGCATATTAAATATTACTAATGTAACTCATCTCTTGATATGGTCATTTATTTATGAATAAATAAGTTAAGATCCAGGCATAATTTATCTCCTGGGCAGCACAAAAGCTGTACCACCAAACAATGAATGAGGAAACGGTGGAAGATTAATCAAAGTAGAAAACACACAACAGCTCATTTTTTTTCCAAGAAAATTCTGAGAGCGAGAGAGAGTTCTTTATAAGGAAGGTGCTTGTGGAAACACATTTGCTTTAAAATTAAGAACATGATGAGGTGGTGTTTGTGTCTCACTCAATGGGCCAGAATGCCTGTGTTGTTTTGGGTATGATGAATGAACCTCCCAGGCTGAAGGCCCTCAGTTCCTCCTCCATCTTCCGTTGGATGCCGTGGGGAAACATTGAAGCGAAAAGCAAATCAAAAGTTACTTTTTTGGACTTGTGTTGTGACAAAACTGTCTGGGATTCTTTTCACACCATGCATGGACTACAGTGCTAGAGTGTGTGTATTTGTGCCATCCAAATCAGTGAATATGCTTCACTTCTAAAGAAAAGATGCACAGTATATATAATATACAGTATATATTATATGTAATACTAGTTTACTTATTGAGGTGGCTGACTGTGAGGAATATTTAAGGTATCCAAGTGACGTGAAAGTTGTCAGCCCCCATGTTTTGTTGGACCCAGAAGCCCTTTTATTATCTCAAAAAACATGCTTATTTAAGTATCAAACTGATGCTTCTTGACTTTTTCTAATCTTATGAGAACCAAAACAAACTTTTTAATCACAGTTTTAAAGCATCATTTTCTTTCTCTTGGGTTTTCATTAGATCAGAGCATATTCAAAGACTCTGAAGGGAAAACAGGAGCTTAATTTTGGAAATAAATTACAATTTTTGTAATTATGTTTACATATCCATCTTTGGGGTATCAACCAAAAAAGAGGGGTATAACAGATATTTGAATTATGCTTGTCACTTACATTTTTACAATTCGATTTCAACTTTGTATGTTGCAGTTTCGTCTATAAATTTCCACCAACTCCATTCTGATTGAAACAATTCACATTGTTTTTTAAAATTAATAGACTTCCTGTTACATAACTTTGTCTTCTATCATCTGGCTATTCTGAACACCATTGCCTTTTACCTCATTTACCTTGTTCTTTACCTTGTTTAAACCAGTTTTGTTTAAACTTTATGTTAATGAATTCTCCTCCACAATTACAGTACATCTGTGTCCTCTGTGCAGCTGGTCTCTTCTCTGCCTTCTTCTGTTCTTTTTCTTCCTGTCTTTGGCTCTTCCTCTGTTCGTCCTTCTCATCCCTTATTAAATGATTTCCCACGGGCAGTCTTCAGCACTCACCTGTTTAATAAAATTTAGCTAGAATTGGAAGCATACTGTCACCCCCTCTGCTATGATTTATAGCGTATCGGTTTGTTGCAGCATTTACTGACCAGTGTTGGTCATAATCCCAAAAGTATGTGTGCATGCATGTGTAGTGTTTTGTGCTAAATTTGAGAAGCTTGAATAGTAACTGTTTGACCATTGTCCAGCTTGTTTTAATAGAGGCACTTCACACACTGGCATTGCTGGCTAAAGTCCAAAGCCTCTGGCTGGCTAACAGGAAATAGCCTGCTGAAAGCGGGGTCTTTAGATAATTGCTCAGTAATTTGTTATCCTTCTTTGAGTGGGTTAGATTTTATATAAATCTAACATACCTCATCACAGGCAGGCACAGCACTCAGTTCAGCATGTGTTCGTGCTTGTGCGTGCAGTCTGCGTCACTCATAGCACGTGCCTATGTCATGCGCTATATCGAAAAAAATGTCTATCGTTATCAAAGAGGGTGTACCATCGATAAATATCGATACCGTTTTATCGCCCAGGCCTAGGCCCAAGCACTGGTTATGGCAAATGATTTTGCTTGAGGACCCAGATTTTACTCATTTCATTTGCAAGAATGTGGCCGTTTTTAAGTTGGAACATACTTTTGCTAGCTTTTACCATGTGACTGATGAAATTGTGCCAAAAAATCAACAAAGGAGAATTTTTTACTCTATAAAATTAGTAAGTTTATTGTTTGTATTTAGCATTTATTCCCCAGATCTGCGACCCATTTTCCTTTTAGGATTGTGACACACCATTTCCACTGAACACCATGACAGGATCTGGTTCCTGATTGTCCAGAGGAAGGCTCTGTCTTATTATATGAAAAATAAATGTCATTTCGGCCCCAAAGCTTTTATAATGTGTGGTGTACATGACCGTCTGCTCAACACATGCTGCTTCAAAGACTCACTACTTGTTCCTGCTTTTGACTCAAGGCCAACACACACTCATTTAAGCTAAACCAAACGAACATCATCCACTCTTCCTTTCCCTCTCATATTTGTTTTCTGAGTACACAGAAGATTAATATTCAATAGAAAGATTAATAATGCACAATAAATAAATGCAAAATAACAAGAAATGAAATTTTCCCTTTCACTGCTTTGTTTTGGGAAATGATGACAAACACAGTATTATTTTCAGGAAACATTTTATCTGAATGCTACGATGAATGTCCGCTTAATGGTGCTCCAGTAAAATACAACCTAGAGAAGATAATCAACTACCTGCACTTAAGTTCGTTTCAAACTCTAATTTTACTGCTTGTAAATGTTTCTCCCAGTGTGTAAGCATACATTAACTGGGCTAATGGCTCCTGTTCGTTTGTAGACATTTGCAGTCTCTTTTTTTTTTTTTTAAACCGTCAGCGTCAAACAGTTGCATGTAATACACAGGTCCAGAATAAAGCTTGTTTTTCTGTGTCTATTATAGTAAAGGTCAAAGGCTGAGATGTAACGCATTAGCTGTGCACAGTCCTGATGTCTAAATGGCACACTCATTATGATGGACTTCTACCACCGCATGTGATGGCGTGGTATACCACTGGTCCGCATCCTGCTGTATTATCCATCTCACTTTAGTGACTCATACATTTTGTCCCTGACACGCTGCGTATGTTTTTAATCCCAGAGGCTTCTGGGAAACAGTACGTCATCACCTAATCAGTGGTAAAATTTCTGGCAGTATTTCATGACAGCATGCACAATGTTCAGACCAGCTAATGTCCTTTTATATTTCACCTCCATTCTTGATAGATATTTTAGACTGAGTGGATTAAAATAAACTGTGGCACAGGTTGACTTTTATTTTGCTTATATTGTACAGTGTAAAGGGAACGTTCACATAAAAATTAAGATTCAGCCATCATTTACTTGCCCTCATGTTGTTTCAAACTTGTACGTTTTTCTTTATTCTGTGGAACACAAAAATATATTTCTAAAATGTCTATCTCATATAAATGCTGTTCTTTTGAATTTTCTATTTATCAAATAATCCAGAAAAAAAAGTATCACCCTTTTTCCACAAAAATATTAAGCAGCACTATTGTTTTCAAAATTGATAATTAGAAATGTTTCCTGAGCAGCAAATTGGCATATTAGAATGATTTCTGAAGGATCATGAGACACTGAAGACTAAGTAATGGTGGCTGAAAATGCAGCTTTTCCATGACAGGAATAAATAACATTTAAAATATATTTGAAAACAGTTATTTAAAATCATAATAATATTTCATAATATTACTGTTTTTATTGTGGTTCTGATCAAATAAATGCAGCCTTGGTGAGCATAAGAGACTTCTCAAACATATAAAAAAGCATACAGAATTAATTAATATGATATCCTCTCTCAGGGAAACCAGCACTTTTATGTTCTGTTTATGTTGTATTTGCGATTCCCATCATCTATTTAGACTGAGATACTTGGATCAGTGTCGGACACATCACAGAAGCCTTTAATGAAGGCTTTCCAGTAACTGGCTTATTATTCTTATGCCCTGACAGCCTGTAGTCCATTGTGGCGTTGCAGACTACCTGTGGTGTCGGTATATTGATGTGCAGAGTGATTATGAGTCCGTTTGAGCGGTGGCTGGACTGTGTTTCTAATTGAATGCCGCTGTTTGGTCTCTCTCCCGCTGAATGTTTTTTTGTGTGAGTGGAATACCAGATTTAGGAACACTGTGGTCGGCTGATGAGAAAGTGTTTGTGGTCATGGGAAGGCAAGATAGATAGAGACATAACATATGATTGATGCATTGCATTAACCACCAGTCTGCTGTTTTCCAGGATTCCATTATCTTAAAACCTTTACGTGCAACAACAGGAAATAAAATGTTTGTGTGAACAGTGTTCTTGGTTCTTTTCCAGTGATCTCGGCTTGATATGTACTGTTTTGTCCCTCAGGTTGGATCGCTATCTTGGGGGCTCTGTGGTTACTGGTGCTGGCTGACATTCAGGACTTCGAGATCATACTTCACAGAGTGGAATGGGCCACCCTGTTGTTCTTTGCTGCTCTGTTTGTGCTTATGGAGGTATGGTAATGCTCAACAAACGCCCACATATCCCAATGTTCTGTCATCTATTACATCATAGTAATGGCTAGTCATTGTTTACCAAGATCAGTTTAGCTGGTCACCGGCCCATGTTGTTTTGGATGCTAGTTCGGAGCCTGTCATGCCTCTAACGTGCCCCCTAAAATTAATTTTTTTAAATGCAACCAAAAAATGCAATAATAAAATAAACATTAAAGGGGTCATACGATGCTATTTACATTTTTCCTTTTTTTTTTGGAGTGTTACAAGCTCTTGGTGCATAAAGAAGATCTGTAAAGTTGCAAAGACTAAAGTCTCAAATCCAAAGAGATATTTATAAAAGTTAAGAGTCAACCACGCCTACCTAAAACGGCTCGTTCTAACCTGCCCCCACAAAATAATGTTCTTTTTAGCTGCATCATATGACCCCTTTAAAATTCCCTCAAAATAGGATTTAAATAAAAAAAAGTTAAATGAGATTTTTATTAATTATTGTAAGAAAAAGTGTTCTATTTCTTCTTTCTTATTTTAATCTCTATCTATCTATCCATCTATATATCTATCTATACATTTTTATTATATATCTATATCTATTTTTTATTTACCCCCCCCCACAATATTAATAGTGTATATAATAGGCCATTTTTATGTTTATTTTTATCTATCACATTCATAAATAAAGAAGGAGAAAGAGGGTGACTTGAGATTGGGAGTCGAAGTAAGGAGAAAGTGAGCATGTCAGCAGCAGAAATGCTGGGTTTGCTGTTTGTGTTGGTTTAATCCTTTATTTTGTTAGGAGAACAGTATTCACACAGGGAAGCATACACCTTGGGCCCAGTGGGGAGCTTAAACTGCTCCAAGATAAACTGTTTGCCCTCTATAGCAGAGCCAACATTCACAGTCACTCCATACCAGTGTGTACTGCAAGCGCTGAGACAAAAATAGATGAATTCTGATATTCCACTTCCATTGTTTAAAAGATGGAAAATCAGAACTGTCAGGTTAAATGTCTGTTGTTTTGGTTTCTGGTCTATGGCTTGATTTTTCTCTTTGGTGTATTATTAAGGCCCTAGCCCAGCTGCAGCTCATCGACTACATCGGGGAGCAGACAGCAGTGTTGATAAAAGTGAGTATTTGCTCCAGAAGTATTTGATACTTTAATACTTTGGGGGGATTTCACTAGGAATTTATATTTGCATGGGCTGTCTGTGTTGCTCTGGTGCTCGACTCACTAAAGGTGTTATGTAATCAGCACAAAATCTATCCAAAAAGTGGTATTAAAATATGTATGTGGTATATGATACAGGTATAAGGTATGTGATACGATCACAAGTGGGAAGGCGACACATGCTGTTTACACCTTGATGTAACATGCCTCAGATGTGTCTCCTGTGACCACTCATGATCGGATTTTGAGGGAAAGGTCTGTTTCTGCCTCAGAGTAAAGACAGATTATAAAAATAAAAATAAGAATAAAGACATTGTAAGTCACATTGTAAAACATGATGTTTGAACTGCAAAATATAAAGTTGCAATTATAAGAAACAAAGCTGCATTTGCGAAATATAAGGTCATTGTGAAATAAAAAGTTACTTTCTGATATATAAAATAAAATTTTTAGATATAAAGTTGCAATTACCTTTTTATTTAGATAGTCCTTCACTGTTGTCCAAGGTCTGTATATTATGCAGCAGCTTAACCTACTATGAAGTGCCAACAGTGGGTGGCTGAAAGTAAAAATCCCATTCATTTTAGGATTGATTTTTAACACTTGTACTGTGAGCTACAGTACAAGGTTCTTAATTGACAGTACATGCCCATCAGCCCGCATTATTTCAATGTATTTTTTAAATAATTGTTTTAACAACAGGATTCCTGTTGAGAAACTAAATTACCCAATGATTGTGCAAATCAGAGAATCGCATTAAACCAATTGTGAAAAAGGAATTCTTTATTGCCTGCCCATTTCCCATGAACTACTGCAAATGACATAGAATCTGTATCCCTACTCTCTCAAACTACTTCAGTGCACTTTTAAAAATAAAAGTTCCAAAAGGGGGTTTGGATGCAAGAACCTTTCTGCGAACCGTTCCTAAAAGAACCATTTTTTTTCTTAGTGTGAAGAATATTTCAATAATCAGAAGAACCTTTTTTCACTATAAAGAACATTTGGTCACATTTGGGTTCCATGGGACCATCAATGCAAAGAAAGAATCTTATTAAATATTATTATATAATACAAAATGAACACAAATTATGTCGTTTCTCTATTAGTATTGTCTTTAAGTCAGTAGTTTTATATTTCTCCACTGTTTTTTGATTATGTCTTGCGCAGTGCTTCATGGAGCTGTAGTTAAAGCTGTTAAGTACACTCTTGTACCTTTGTCATTTTGACTAATTTTCAAATACATTTTTGCTTTAAATTAAAATTTATAATGTTGTGATTCACCTCGTTGCTGGTTGATTTGGTTCATGGTTTTTAACTCCTGAACAAAGACTTCAAAAAATCTCTGGGAAAAACCAAGGCTCCTGAAAAAGTGGATGGGTGCTGTTTTACTCTATATCTTCTTTCATACATGGACCATAATTCTAAGAGCTTGCATTACCACACTTAAAACAAAAAAACAATGTAAATCAGCCAAATGAACCTCATTAAATAATGTGGCTGGCTTAAATTATTGTTATCTTTGATCCAATAGTAGGGCTGTGTGGGCCATAAATAGAGAGATTTCCAGAGGTCTGGAAGTGTCCAGCTCTGCCTGGCTGGCGATCACACTCTGATAGACCTGTCAGTTTGTGTTTGCTGTGTGGGCCTTTTACAATCACAGTAATTATTCATGACAGGTGCTGCTGCGGGGCTCTGATGCATTCAATCCAATCAGCAGCACCAGGACCCCCAAAATCTGACCATGTAGATGAACAACCAAAGAGAGAAATAGTGGGGAAATGACTGAAATAAAACCGTGTTCTAATAAACAGCATTCTTACATGCTTATGAAAAAGCTACGGTGCGTTTTCACATACGTTATAGCTGGATTGAAAACAGGCATATGGTGAGAGTGTGTTTTTATGTCTGTTTGTGTACATGTGTTGTTGTGTGTTTCGGTTTATGAAAGCAACAGAGCTTGAAATAATGAATCCAATGTGACTGTGTCATGAACACATTGTCTGCAAACCCTCCCACCTTTGTGTTGGCATCTATGTGCCTGTGTGTGCGTGCGTTTGGTTGTGACATATTTTATTGTTATCTTCTCTCCCAGGCAGTACCAGAGGATGAGCGGTTGGCCATCGCCATCATTTTGGTCATGTGGGTCTCAGCACTGGCCTCCTCTCTTATAGACAACATTCCCTTCACTGCCACTATGGTAAGGAACAGACATACTCCTTCAGGCATTTGCACACAAACACAAAGATATGGTGAAACAAAACTAGCTCTAAATCTCACTCTAGTTTGTCTGACATCTTAGTACAATGGCCTTTTTTAGTACTTGGACTTGAAAGAAGGCCTTTATTTGATAAAAAAAAACTTTTCTATATTTTAAAATGTAATTTATTCCTCTAATACGCTCTAATATCCTCTGATTTGCATATTAGAGGAATACATTTCCTATGTTTATCAATTTTGAAAATAGTTGTGTGGCTTAATATTTATGTGGATACCATGATACATTTTTTCAAGATTTTAATTGTTTTTGTGATGCAATTAAAATTATATTCAATTAAATTATTCATTTAAATAAAATTATTTTTTGTAAAAATAAATTGACATTAATATATAAAAATATATATTATTAGATGCTGAAATTGCTCACCATTTTGTTTAAATTTCACTTTATTTAATCACCTTTTTGATGTTCCCTGCAATAGGCTTAGGCAAAGTCTTTTATACAACAGTTCTGTGAACAAGAAGTTATGTAATGCGTAATATGCAGTCACTTGATCATTATCACAAAATAAGACAAGCTTATCAGGCCTCTGATGTGAGCCAGGAGGGTCTTGGATGATTCTGAAGCAATTTATGTAATGATAATGACTGGAGTCCCTTAACTTGAGGGACTGTCATATCTTGCCTATAGGGAGCCTGAATCGCCGCCAGATTTGAGAGTTCTTTCAATTTAACCCCTGCAAACAAAGTAGAACGTGAAATGTCTCATCACTATTGTAACAATATTTATTGTTTACAAAGTAGAAGACTAGTGATGTTGTATGATTAGAAATATGCTTTTTCAAATAGTTTTAGAATGGCATGTCTCACTGGAGGATACTGCCATCACTGCTTGACATGTCGTGTCAACTACCCACGTTCTGTTGACAAATAGGTGAAAATAGTGCATCTTATCCTCTATAGTCAACCGAAACATGTGAGAATCAGTAGTGAGTGGTGATGTGCTGTCAGAGCAGCACATGAATCATGTGCATCATGAAGGAACACGTGCTGTGAGCTGATATGATGAACATGGCACCAAATGAGCAGAAGGGAAGAATGCAGGGCAGATGAAATAGACAAGTCACTCCAGAAATCACTTAGCATTTCAAAAGACTTTTTTTCATTTCCTCCTTCTCCAGCGTTTTCCACAGGTTTAATTTGATCTGTCTATTTTGTCCTCTTTTCTTACTTTCTTTTGCTTCCTTTCTCACCTTGTGTGTAGTAGGGATGGGCAGAAGGTTAGGGTTAGATAGTTGTTAGGTTAGGCAACTAGTTAGGCAAAGTTGTTAGGTTGTAAGGAACAACTAGCTGAATACTAGTCCAGTAGTCAAAATGACCCCGATTATATATATTTCTTAGGACGTGTTTGCATAAAGATCTCACTGTGTTTGACTAGTCAGTTGTTGGATGACATGTTAGCCACTGGAACCTGCAACTCTTGTCCTATTTTGTCTTATTCTTGCTCACTGTCTGTCTCTTTCATTCGCTCTGTCAAAAAAGGAGAGATAAACAGGGTGAAATGTATTTGAGCTCAGCATATACCTGTGGTGGTAGTGGATCGCATTGATTTTGCTGGCCCCATCACTGTATAAATACAGAAAAAGACTTCTCAGTAGTGCTCTCTCACAATCTGAAGCTGGACTAAAAAGACCATGCCGTTAGACACACACTTCATTAATGTAGAGCACAGAATGGGCCTGTTTCTGACTCTACTAAAAATTAGCATGAATTCAGTTATTTTTAACTTCCCTGTGTGGTCTGAATGCTGGTATGCTGGTCTCCCCACAAGACTTCATAACTAGATTAACCATCATCAAGCATCATTTGGTCCACCAGCTTCATTGGAAAGACCATTTAACTAACCTGAATATACTTTCATGGAAATTCATACTGGTCTGAGCAACAAATTTCTGTGGTTAGACGTTTAAATTGCTTGAAGTATTGACTCTAAATCACACCATGTATAAAGCAATTTTAAATTGGCTTGCCATGTTTAGGTCCACATATCAGGCATAGCGTGTTCGGTTTGAGTATTCTATATATTTTCAAACGTCACACAATCACTGACATCCACATGGAGCACTGAACATCTGATCTGAAGATCAATACAGTGTCTAGAAGCTGTTTACTTCTGTCCCTGCCTGTTCTCATCTGTAAGGGATTATATAGGACATATACATGGCTGCAGTCATGGCCCTGCTCACCATGTTTGTCGATCTCCTTTTGTTTCCATGGCTATTTGTTGGGTGACTTGCCAATGATTGTTCTGTAATTGCAGTAAGTAAACTGGATCAAAGTGCTTGTGGGATTTAATGAAAGTTATTATTGACCGTTCTTAACCTTGATAACCTAAGGTTCTATCTTTGTGGTAAATCTTTAAACCACAATTGATGTTTTATTTTCAGGAGCCCTAAGTGGGGATCCTGAAATTGATCTACAAAAAATCCCAAAAGAATTGCCTGGTGAGAACCAGCATATCTGAATCTGACTGACAACAATGACATTTAAATGGCTGTTTTCCATTTTTCATGAAAATATATTAAAATGTAATTTAGTCCTGTGACCGCAAAGCTGAATTTTCAGCAGCCATTACTCCAATCTTCATTGTCACTTTTTTTGATGAATAAAAAGTTCAAAAGAACTGCATTTATTTAAAATAGACATTTATTTTTAACAAAAAATCTCTACTGTCACTTTTGATCAATTAAATGCTTGCTTGCTGCATCAAAGTGTTAATTTCTTTCAAAAACTAAATTATTGAATCGTAGTTTATGTCAATATATGTTAAATATATTTTCCATTTATTATGATATTTGTTAGGTAAGAATCTATTAAATAAGTGTGATAATAGTTAGTTTTTGCAAAATAAATCCTTTCAAGGTGACCATGGCCATGATTACTTTGTGATTAAAAACACACTTGCTATAGATTATCCCCTAAATATAGTCCTTATGTCTACACCTCCATAAAAGAACAAATGTCCCCATATACTGTAACTTATTACACAGTAGCTGTTCATGTGTAGACAACAAAATGAAAGTTTAATAATATAATAAATATACTAATATTTATGATTGCAGAGTTATGATAACAGAGAGCATGTGTGATATCTGTAAAAATGTTTCCATGCCACCTGTGTCAAGTTAGGATTTTCCACACAGATTAAAAATTTGCTATTTGCGCTCCACTGCAAACATAAAACTGCTATTTTCTTGTCAACACAAGTGTACGGTTGCTTTGGCTCCTGGTGCCCTCCCATCCACGCTGGCGATGCCACAGCTGAATGAGCCGGATGGCAAATGTAGTAGAAAATGTAATCACAGTTGTGCTGTGTAATTTATTCTAGTCGATTGCAGCTGAAGCCGCTGTTAGCTGGGAGGCCAGTGTGTAGCAGACAAGTGGCTACATGCAGAAATCTTCGAGGCAGAAGACATTTTCTGCAAATATGCAATCTTTAAATTATGCTACACTGGTGGGAAGATCGAATGCTTATGTGCCTTGAGAAATGTATGCATGCATATTTGTTGTTGTCGCCACAGGGATCCATTCCCTGCTTCTTACCATTATATTCTCATGCTAAGCACTGATGGCTATAGCCATTGTGGAGTGTTTTTGTCTTGTTTATATCCATGTACATTTCATGCCTGTGCCAAAGCAGTGATGCTTGGATCATACATGCTGTTTCATGAGATTTTCATTTGCTGTTTATTCAAGCTCTGTGTTTGTGCAAAAAGAGAGAAATATGGCAAAGTAATCTAATGTCATCAACTACTGATTTTCTTGTTCTTGACTTGTGGAGCAGAAGAATATGACTCAATCTGCTAATAGGTTGGACGGCTGTCAGAATATTTGAATATAACATTCTCTGTGACCCTGACATCCACAATGTTTGGTTCCTGACAGATGGTTGTTTGTAATAGGCATTGCTTAATTTTTCATTATTCAAATACATTGCCTATGAGAATTATGATCAGGGCATTTTGCATCTATCTATCTATCTATCTATCTATCTGTCTGTCTGTCTGTCTGTCTCTCTCATATACACACTACATATGATATATTTATCTGATGTGTTTTTTTTTTCTTTCACAGATTCCTGTGCTTATAAACCTTAGTCAAGATGCTGATGTCAACCTACCAGTCAAACCTCTAATTTTTGCATTGGCAATGGGAGCTTGCCTTGGAGGTCAGTTACATTTTTGTCTCTCTTATATTATTCAGTATAAGTGTTTTTAAAAAAACATGCCATTACAGCAAACTTGGTTCAAGTGGGTTGATGAACTGCAATGAATACTATGCCTTTAAAAGACATCATTTGTAGCGTTTCATTTGAATTGCAAACCACCTCCTATAGAGGCGAAGAAGTAATTGCTTTGCCTAAATGTATCTGTGATATATAATTAGCAATTCAAACTAGTGATTCAAAAAAGTTTATTTTTATTACATTGTGTCAACCTTAATAAGCTGTAGTTTTTCAATGCCTCTAACTTCTTCCTCACTGGCTTTTAAAGCACCACAGTGAACAACAGATCGCTCTACATTTAGGAATGTAGTGTGCTTACAAGGCCATCTGAAAATGCCTCATTGCCTGTTTGGCTCTAAGGACATGGAGAGAGATGTGGCAGTCCTACTGCCTAATCAAAGGAGATGTGTTAGCTCTAGTATTGATCCATGCAATGCTAAGGCAGGCTTCTGGTTTTGTTGTAACGCTGACATCTTTCAAGATGTGAACATTTCATATGAAGACCATTCTTCTACAAGGCCAAACAACACGCTTTAAGAAATATGTCTCTTAGGAAAAGACAAATTGATGGGTGTAAACTGCATTTAGAATTTTAAATTGTTCAAATTTATAAGGCATTTAGTCGTTAAATTGAAAATGTGATGTTGACGCATCATTTTTTTTTTTTTTTATGTCTCTCTATATATAATTACTGTACAATTGCGTAATTGATATGCAATGATCGTTTCAAACTCCAGATTTTCAAAATTTTAAAAAATATATTTTGATATTTTTATGATGGAATTTCATTGTTTATGACAAATTTAAATCAAAGACAAAATATAAACATATTTTATTTTTCAAAATATAACTTGGATCGCGGGACAGTAAATTGAAGAACACATCTAGATTCTCCAGAGTACATTTTTCTAGACATGCTATTGATGAAGTGATGACCTCTGTCCTTCATCAGAAAGCTATCATGCCTGTGATTTGAGTTGGGACATGCATTTCAAAAGCAGGTACTTCAAAAGAAAACCCTTGCTAAATCACCTCCTGCAATTTAGCACTGAAGGTCATTTCATTGCTGGTACTCTAACAGAAGTGATTGCACACAGTGGAGAACTTTAAATTGCAATCAGTATAACAAAATCTGCTGTGCACATTGACACCAATTCAATTCTAATATTCATTTATAAAGATCCGTGTTTGTACAGTGTTGTATTTGTAGAGGACATATAGTGCTATTTAAACATTTACAAATTCTCAAGTCTCTCTCTCTCTCAAGGCAGACTCGAGTGATTGGATAGAGTATATATGGAAGAATTCACTAGGCAAATTCTTTTTTTCATTAAAAATAAATGAATGTCTATGTTTATTTAGGCTATCAGATTTGTCCAAGATGATCATTCTTTTTTTTCCTTCTCTTTCGATTCAAAAGGAAATGGGACACTGATTGGAGCATCTGCAAATGTGGTGTGTGCTGGGATTGCTGAACAGCATGGCTATGGATTTTCCTTCATGGAGTTCTTCAGGTATTTGTGTTGGGCACAAATTTATTTTTCCACACCTTTTATTACAAAATAGAGACTCTTTTGCGACCAACTGTGTTATGAAATTGAGCTCAAATTCCATGCACATTTTCTGCCGTTTTGGTGTCTTTTCTATAAAAACATTTAAAGAGACATGCTTACTCATGCCAGTATTTTAATGAATTTTTGGTAACACTACAATAAGGTTCCATTTGTTAACATTAGTTAACTACATTACGTAACATGAACTAACAATGAAAGAATCATTTAAAAACATTTATTAATCTTAGTTTATTTTAACATTTACTAATATGCTAACATGAATGGATCAATAAACAGTTGTATTTTTATTAACTAACGTAAACAAAGACTAATAAATACTCTATCTATCTATCTATCTATCTATCTATCTATCTATCTATCTATCTGTCTATCTGTCTGTCTGTCTGTCTGTCTCTCTCATATACACACTACATATGATATATTTATCTGATGTGTTTTTTTTTTCTTTCACAGATTCCTGTGCTTATAAACCTTAGTCAAGATGCTGATGTCAACCTACCAGTCAAACCTCTAATTTTTGCATTGGCAATGGGAGCTTGCCTTGGAGGTCAGTTACATTTTTGTCTCTCTTATATTATTCAGTATAAGTGTTTTTAAAAAAACATGCCATTACAGCAAACTTGGTTCAAGTGGGTTGATGAACTGCAATGAATACTATGCCTTTAAAAGACATCATTTGTAGCGTTTCATTTGAATTGCAAACCACCTCCTATAGAGGCGAAGAAGTAATTGCTTTGCCTAAATGTATCTGTGATATATAATTAGCAATTCAAACTAGTGATTCAAAAAAGTTTATTTTTATTACATTGTGTCAACCTTAATAAGCTGTAGTTTTTCAATGCCTCTAACTTCTTCCTCACTGGCTTTTAAAGCACCACAGTGAACAACAGATCGCTCTACATTTAGGAATGTAGTGTGCTTACAAGGCCATCTGAAAATGCCTCATTGCCTGTTTGGCTCTAAGGACATGGAGAGAGATGTGGCAGTCCTACTGCCTAATCAAAGGAGATGTGTTAGCTCTAGTATTGATCCATGCAATGCTAAGGCAGGCTTCTGGTTTTGTTGTAACGCTGACATCTTTCAAGATGTGAACATTTCATATGAAGACCATTCTTCTACAAGGCCAAACAACACGCTTTAAGAAATATGTCTCTTAGGAAAAGACAAATTGATGGGTGTAAACTGCATTTAGAATTTTAAATTGTTCAAATTTATAAGGCATTTAGTCGTTAAATTGAAAATGTGATGTTGACGCATCATTTTTTTTTTTTTTTATGTCTCTCTATATATAATTACTGTACAATTGCGTAATTGATATGCAATGATCGTTTCAAACTCCAGATTTTCAAAATTTTAAAAAATATATTTTGATATTTTTATGATGGAATTTCATTGTTTATGACAAATTTAAATCAAAGACAAAATATAAACATATTTTATTTTTCAAAATATAACTTGGATCGCGGGACAGTAAATTGAAGAACACATCTAGATTCTCCAGAGTACATTTTTCTAGACATGCTATTGATGAAGTGATGACCTCTGTCCTTCATCAGAAAGCTATCATGCCTGTGATTTGAGTTGGGACATGCATTTCAAAAGCAGGTACTTCAAAAGAAAACCCTTGCTAAATCACCTCCTGCAATTTAGCACTGAAGGTCATTTCATTGCTGGTACTCTAACAGAAGTGATTGCACACAGTGGAGAACTTTAAATTGCAATCAGTATAACAAAATCTGCTGTGCACATTGACACCAATTCAATTCTAATATTCATTTATAAAGATCCGTGTTTGTACAGTGTTGTATTTGTAGAGGACATATAGTGCTATTTAAACATTTACAAATTCTCAAGTCTCTCTCTCTCTCAAGGCAGACTCGAGTGATTGGATAGAGTATATATGGAAGAATTCACTAGGCAAATTCTTTTTTTCATTAAAAATAAATGAATGTCTATGTTTATTTAGGCTATCAGATTTGTCCAAGATGATCATTCTTTTTTTTCCTTCTCTTTCGATTCAAAAGGAAATGGGACACTGATTGGAGCATCTGCAAATGTGGTGTGTGCTGGGATTGCTGAACAGCATGGCTATGGATTTTCCTTCATGGAGTTCTTCAGGTATTTGTGTTGGGCACAAATTTATTTTTCCACACCTTTTATTACAAAATAGAGACTCTTTTGCGACCAACTGTGTTATGAAATTGAGCTCAAATTCCATGCACATTTTCTGCCGTTTTGGTGTCTTTTCTATAAAAACATTTAAAGAGACATGCTTACTCATGCCAGTATTTTAATGAATTTTTGGTAACACTACAATAAGGTTCCATTTGTTAACATTAGTTAACTACATTACGTAACATGAACTAACAATGAAAGAATCATTTAAAAACATTTATTAATCTTAGTTTATTTTAACATTTACTAATATGCTAACATGAATGGATCAATAAACAGTTGTATTTTTATTAACTAACGTAAACAAAGACTAATAAATACTGTAGTCATATGAAATGCTCATTGTTAGTGCTCACTGATAATTGTTCATTTTAGACTTAATTTTAACTACTGTTAAGTAAAGGGACCTTATTGTAAAGTGAATTTTTTTATGCTAGTCTATCATTTTTTTATAGTCTACTATATACTTGATATTTTGTTTAGGTGGTCTCTTCCTAAGTGGGCAGTTCTTTGCCAAAATAAGCTGCGATGAGCACCAGACTCTTTCAGGGAATTTTTTTCCCCCTCTACGTCAAAGCTAGTATTGCTAACAGCAAAATTACCCAAGAGTGCCCTGGTGCAAGAGTCAATCCCCTAGCTTTATGTCCAGATGTTTATAGCCTTTCATGTACTCTCACTCTTCAGGGAAAGCTGTGGCCAGTGGTAGCTTAAGTGACACTTAGGGAGTCTGTTTCAGGGCACACTCTGATACACTTTTTAGCAATCTGCTTCTTCTGGTCATGTTCTCCCTTCTCTTCACATTATAAAATACACCATTTAAATGTGGAGCAATATTGCAATCAAATAGAGAACTGCTTAACCAGCAGTTACAATCAAAATGCCACTCAACTCAAGCTTGTTTAATACATATATGTAAACGTTATGTCATATAATGTCCTGTATGTCTGTCCTCTGTATTTACAGTGGGTACGGAAAGTATTCAGACCCCCTTAAATTTTTCACTCTTTGTTATATTGCAGCCATTTGCTAAAATC